ACAGCCAGACTCAGTGTTAGGCATCCTAAAATAAGAATGACTTGGTTCACAAACTTTAGAATTAGATGAGAAAATCTTTATATTAACTCTTCTTTGAATGCACAAATTCTTACCCTGGAAATTTCACCAATTAAGTAATCATTATCTCTTCTGGATTTAATCCTAGGGCATGGAAAAAGATCTGTGGAAATAATGTCCATTTATATTTTTTACTAGAATTATCTAGTCACTGAATGTTTATCTTAGTTCATTTTAAATAGATGTAGGTTGGCTATTAATCATCTTACTTCATCTTTGTATCAACTCTGTGAAATAGAAAGACTGGATATACTATTTCAATTCCATAAATTAAAAACTTTAGATTTTAAAAGACTAAATAACTTGCCTACTTTTATACAATTATTTTATTCTTGAAATTGTAACTTGATCTCTAACAATTCCTAAACAAGGAATATTTCTATTTCATTAGAAACACTGTTTCAAGCCTTAGAATATTTAAGAATGAATATTCAGGGATAGTTTCATTTAAGTGTTATAAAACTTTCCCGGCTAACATTTTGTGTAATTCAGTAAAATTTTATATAAGTGTTCATCAACATTAGCATCTACCAAATATTTTCAATATATTTCATTCAAATCTACATTTTTCACAATTTTTAGATATGGATAACAATCTATTTTAATAATTGAAAATATAGAATCAATACAATATTGAAAACACTCCCACTTGCAGGTTTTTGCTAAATTCATCATGTTGACTGGAGTGGTACTAATGAAATTAACTTTAGAGCACAAAAATTAGTCAATTCATTTTTATCAGGATAAGTTAGAAGCAGACAAAATATTTGAGAGATTGTGAAGTTATTATTAAGTGATTTGGACTGAGGAAGCTTCAAAGAAGATAATATTCAGGAAGAAAGACTCAACATGGAAGGCTGAGGTAAGCACTTTGGATTTGTAGCGTCCAATGAATGGAACACTTGGAAGCATCCATTTTGTTCACTGTTCTTTGGGTAAAGATTTCCATCAGCTCAGAATCAATGGAAGGATGAAGATTTAGTATAATGAAGTTGTATATACTAGAGGACAAAGTGAAAACTTCTTAAGTGTAGGAAATATGTAGACAAATGAGAAGAGGGAAGAGAATAAAAAAGAGAACAAAAAGAGAAAAACAAGGGATAAATTACAAGAAAAAATAAAACACAATGAAAGTAAAATAAAATATAAAAGAACATCTGCACACACAGAGATGTAAGTGTGAAGATAGAATTAGCAACAAGAGGTTGGAAAACAACAAAAACTAGAAGTAAAAGGAAATGAATAGAAAATGATGAGGGAGTGATCTGCTAAAACAATGATCATATCCGCAAATCTCTGGAGTCAAGAACTGGTCTGATAACTTTCTAGGTACCCAGGTGTACCCAGCAGAAGCTTGTGTGGTTGAAGTTTGGGAAAGAGAAGAGGGATAAGAGCATCCTGCTCATACATCTTCAGTGCCAGATGAGTGTTGTTTCAGTTAAAATAAGGAAGTTTAGAGATGGCGATAAACACTCAGCTTCCATCTCAGCCTACTAACAATATCACTTCATTTTATTTAACTGGAAAAAACCACTTGTCTTTCTGAGATCCATTGTTTGGGGCTCTTTTTTACAGCTTATTCTGTAAGGAGGAATATCCATCTGATACAATTCTCTTCAGATTCTGTAATGGCAAAACTTGAGAATCACTGGAACAAAGTATACAGATGTGAGAATAGAAGAGGACAGGAAATTGATCAAAGATATTAAATAGTATGGAATTCAATCTGCTATATGGCAGGGAATAGAAATAGACAGCAGAAAATAAAAGCAAAGGAAGAGTGCTGGGTATTTAGTTTGGTGGTTTTGCTGCCTGCTGCACAAGTGCAAGGTCCCAAGTTCGATCCCCAGTACCAAAAAAAAAAAAAAAAAAGGAAAGGAAGAGAGACTGTAACTAACTCTCAGGTGCTCCAAATGTTTTGGAATTAGGAACCTAAAGAAACATGAGATAATTAATTAATTCTAGATTAGTAACTGGTATGTACAAAATGTAGGAATAGGCAGGAGAGCTTCACAATTACTTTCCTGGGAGAGATTTCTTCAGGTAGAGTGAAGGATAAGTGTGTAAGTGGTTCAAAAATGGAGGCTCCTATGGTAATTTGAAGGGCATCATAGACTGTGTTTTCTTTTTCAACTTACTGTTACTCACTATATATGTTCTAATACCAATGTGTATATGTATTTGAATATACAAATATATTCTCATGGGTCTTAAGTATTAGTTCATAATATTTGGATGCTAGTTCTGAATATTATTAATCATATAAAACAAATACTCAGATTGTTTTTGTAGGTGTGATGTCAAATGCAACATATTGTTTAAATGCTGTATGGCTTCTCTAGGTACTTTTTTTTTTCACTGCTCATTTTAATTTTTTTTTCATATTTGGTTTCTCACTTACCAATACACGTGTAAAACATGACAGGCTGTGTTAGTAAAGGAGAAGCAGGGAGGGTCTCCAGGCACTTTTAATCCTTATTATTTTTTCCTTAATTTTTCTCTACATTCTCTCTTCTATGGCATCTAACTTCACATGTCATTACTAATTCTCACCAATTTTGGGTAGGTATTTAATCACATCCTGGTACTCTTCCCCCGCATTCAATAGCACTACTGAAAAATATTGATAGCATCAACAAATCATAAAATTCACTATTGAAAGCATAAAATTCAGTGGTCTGAGGTGTATGTACAGAGAAATGTGAGAGTCAATATGATAAAATTCTGCAACATTTTCATCAGGCTAAATAGAAACTTCATGTACATTATGTCAATCTCCATTTCATCCCTAGTGCTCAGCAACCACTATGCTACTTTATCTCTCTCTAGATTGTCCTTTTCTAGAAATTTTCATAAATTGCATTTTGTCACTGCCTCCTTTCATAGGGCATGTGTTTGAAATTTATCCATATTTTACAATATATCAGTAATTCATTGTTTTTAATTGGCAAATTGCATTCCACTGTATCCAAAGGATTTAGAAAAATAAGCACTATATGCAATTACAAATCAAAGGTAACAACCTTATGTGTCAGTTTAATAATATGTTATAATTAACAATAGTTCATCTAAAAATATGCACAGCCTTATGTGTATGAGTATTTACTTATAAAATATTTGTGCAACTATGACAACAAACATTAGAAAGCAATAACAAAGATAAGATTTTTACAAACACCTTATAGTAATACTGAGAGATATTCCACTGCTTGGATGTACCATAATGGATTATCTGATGTACCACCCTTCTCAAGGTTGAGTATCTTCTTTTTTGGAGACTAGCATAAAGACTAAACCTTAATTCCTGGCTTCTCCGATATAAAAATGATTCTCCCTGAGATAAAGTTATAGCCAGGAAAGAGGAAGTATTTAGATAAACATATCATGATTTGTTATTTAAGAGCCTAAATAATACCAATGAAATAAACACTAATTAATAATTTCCTAGTAAGTTTATTTTTCACTAGTAGTTATTTATTTTGCATTTAAAAAATATTTTAGTAGATCATTGCAGGACATAATTACATTCATTGTGGGGAGTTGGAAATGTGCATGATACCTATTAACTCTTTTTACTTCTTTCCCTCCTCTTCTTTCCCTCTCCCTCCATCTCTAGATCTCCTTTCCATCTTCAGAAGATCTGTATCCATATTTCCTATCATCTGGATTTTACTTTGCTCTTTAAATTATTTATATTTTGGTTTTCTTACATAAGAGAGAACATGTGATATTTAACCTTGTATACCTGATTGATTTCACCCAACATTATGGCTCCAAGTCCATCCATGTTCTCACAAATGACCTAAATTTCTCCTTCTTTACCTCAATAAGTTTTAAAAGAAGAATACATGGTCATTCTTTTATTTATTGTTTGTTGATAAGAGGAAAAAAGTAAATTCATTGTGAATTTAAAACAGCTGCAGTTGCTTTATTTTTGTCATCTTTTAAATGTGTGTATTAGTATATATGTTTTGTCTAACCAATTCCACTTCTATTAGCCTTTAATTCTCATAGTTGAAATAGTCAAAATCTTCTACATACGCTAAGTATTGCACTATCCAAAAGTTTTTGTGAGAAAGACATTATTTATCTGAGATACTAGGTAAAACATTGAGTCTCAGTGAGTGTTAATCTGAATTTAAGAACAGGCTGTAGAACAGATATAGGATGGGGATCCAGCCAGAGGTACAACTTGAGGAATACCCCTAAGTTAGCTGAAATGTATCATTCTTGCTTGAGATTTTTGTTTGTTTTTAGGTACCGGGGATCAAACTTGTGACCTTGGGCTTTTGAGGCAGGTGGCAAAACCACTGAGCTAAATTCCCAGCCCTTGCTTGAGATTTTGATAACCTGTTTAGAATAAGAATGCACAAGGGAAGCAGAGCAAAGGAATGTGATGGAAATTCGTTATTCACAAATTCAGCAAGTAGACAGAAGGATCACATCCAGGAACGATGGAATCTCTAGAAACTAAATGAAAGAATCAACTGCAAAATCACTTTGTTCTGTGGGGTTGAAAAAAAAAAAAGCAAGTACTCCAAAAATTTGAAACTATGAACCATCACTAACAACAAAAGTAAGCCAACAATAAGAAAAACCTTGATAATGGTTAAGTTTTCCTTTAATGAAGAAACTTTTAATGTAATGTAAGAAACTTAGGTAAGGTCCTACTGAAGCACATATATAGAGAAACTTATATTTCATTATTTATAAAAGCATAGTTAGATTAACAGTATGAAAATGAGGTATTAGGAAAAAGAAGAGTTAACAGGAAGTAGAGTTATGGGAAATAAATTGAATTAACCTATGGTAGTTTTGGGCATGGCAAATTTTTTTTTGAATTAGAAGTGGCTCTATTAAACTGACAAAATGTTTATAATAGGTAATAATTTGATGTTTATGTTTATTCATACTGAGGAGTGATGGAGACAGAGAACAGCACAGTGGTGACAGAATTTGTCCTCCTTGGTCTAACCCAGTCTCAAGATGCTCAACTCCTGGTCTTTGTGTTAGTCTTAATTTTCTACCTCATAATCCTCCCTGGAAATTTTCTCATCATTTTCACCATAAGATCAGATCCTGGACTCAATGCTCCACTATATTTCTTCCTGGGCAACTTGGCCTTCCTAGACGCATCCTACTCCTTTATTGTGGCTCCCAGGATGCTAGTGGACTTCTTCTCAGAGAAGAAGATCATTTCCTACAGATGCTGCATCACTCAGCTCTTTTTCTTGCACTTCCTTGGAGTAGGAGAGATGTTCCTTCTTGTTGTGATGGCCTTTGACCGCTACACTGCCATCTGCCGTCCTTTACACTATTCCACCATCATGAACTCTAGAGTCTGCTATGCATTCCTGTTGGCTCTATGGGTTGGGGGCTTTGCCCATTCCATCGTACAAGTGGCGCTTATCCTGCACTTGCCTTTCTGTGGCCCAAACCAGCTGGACAACTTCTTCTGTGATGTGCCTCAGGTCATCAAGCTGGCCTGCACGGACACCTTTGTAGTGGAGCTCCTGATGGTCTCCAACAGTGGCCTGCTGACGGTTCTGTGCTTCCTGGGTCTTCTGTCCTCCTACGCCATCATCCTGTGCCGTGTGCAGGGGCAGTCCTCTGAAGGGAAGAAGAAGGCTGTGTCCACGTGCACCACCCACATCATCATCGTGTTTCTCATGTTTGGGCCTGCCATTTTTATCTACACTCGCCCCTTCCGGGCTTTCCCAGCTGACAAAGTGGTTGCCCTCTTCCACACAGTCATCTTTCCCTTGATGAACCCTGTGATTTATACACTTCGTAATCGGGAAGTGAAAGCTTCCATGAGAAAGTTGTTAAGTCAGTGCAGCATTTGTTAAATGGAATAAAAAGAAACAGCTAGAAATAAGAACGTTCAATAATCATTAACTGCATTATTACTTCATTCATGCACTAAATCCATCAGTCATTTACAAAACCCTGTATTTATAAAGTATTTCTAATTTTCAGTCACTATCCTAGACATGGAATGAGACAGGTAAGCATACACTTATCTTAGGGTTACATTTGAGAGGATTGAGATAAGTGAAACTATTAGGGAAAAAAGCATCAGAATGTTCTCAAGTATGTCAAAATAGTGTTGTGCTAGAGATTAACTAGGGAGGTAGTCATTACATTGCCTTTGTTTATCAAGTAAGGTGTTCTGGCCCAGATCAACTGGTCTTGTGCTGTTTAGTTGTTAACAAAAATATTTGAAAGAAATGACTATGCAATTACCTGGAAACAAATATTCTATACAAAACCCCCTGATACAATACCAAAGATTTTGTGAGTTTGGTGCATGTGAAGATTAAAAAGATAGTCAAGGTCTTATAGTGGTGTAAAAGTGTGCAACTGGAAAGAGCTGAAACCAGAGAGTTTGGAGGACAACTCTTGTAGAGGATTTTAGGCATTGGTATGAAATTCAGCTTATACAGAAATTAAACACAGTAAAGGCATTAAACTGGAGAGTAAATGTCAATGTTTCCTACTTGTTTTAAGGCAAGAGACTCAAGATTCCGGAGAATTGATGACATTACTCAGTGGGAAGCATCATAATATCAAGATTTTAATGGATACTTAAAGAATTAGTTATTTTCCTAAATTTGGTTTACTAGCATCACTGAGCTGCAGTTACTAGATTCATTAACACATCCTCAGTTTAACAGCCAAAAATATCTCCATGTACTGCAGGTACCCTTTGGAGGAAAAGTTTGTCTGCATTGAGACAACTATAATTAAGGTGATTAATGTCCAGTATTGATTTTATAGTTGAATGATGAAACTTATCTTGCAAAAGTAATATGATTAAAGCTTGCAGAACTTATGAATTTGAATAAAAATATCCAGAAATTCATTAAATTACTGTGAATATCAGAAAAGAATGAAAATGTTATCTAAATATAAGAGAAAAATCAGTGGTATATACTCAGAGGCTATGCACAACATGAAAATAAATAGTACTGATATTAAAATAAAAATGACTGATATGTTAAAGATAGCAGAAGAAAATCAGAAGAAATGGATAAAAGAATGTCAACAGAAAAGTGCAAATCACAAAACAGTCACATGAAAATTTTATCAATTAAGAGTGCTGAAATTTACAATTTATTATATGAGTTTAAAATTATGTGAAACATTGATTAAAAATGAACTAGAAATTAAGGTGATAAAATATTTCAATTGAAATGCAAATTGAAAAAGCAAGAGAAACAAGAAGAGCATTAGAGATAGGTAAATATAATGAAAACAGCTTGTTTATTTATAATTGAATTTCAAGTCCAAAGAAACAAATGGGAAGATGGAATATACATAAAGAGAACTTTCAAAAACTGACAAAGGATATCAAACAACATATACCAAAACTCTGTGACCCAGAGAAGAAGAATAAAAATAAACCAAACGTATCACTGTAAGACACCCAAACACAATGATGAAGGTGAAAGTTTACCTGCTGGAATGAGGAAATGTATTGATTTAAAAGAACAGTAAGCGTAATAGCTCTTTTCATAAAATAAATGTGGACATCATAGGGCAATACCAAGTTTAAAAAGAAAGGAAATACAAACCACAAATTTGTATGAGATTTTAAATCTTTTTACTGAAAGTGAAATAAAACACCTTCAGAAAAACAAAAATTAAAAAGTTTGTTGCCCAAATATTTATACTAAATATATTAGCAGCAGATCTCTGGATAAAATAAAATAATCATGATGGGAAATACTAACTTCAAGGAAGCAGTACAGAACAAATAAACTGTCAAACAGCTCATTATGTTTAATTTTGTAAATATTGAATATTGACTGTACAGAAATATGTTTACCAAATATACATATATACTCATGCTATATGTATAGTGTAAATATACATATAGTGATAGTGTGAGTACAAATATATAAATAAATACATATATATTGACTATATGTCAACAATCATTCACAATAAAAGATATGATACAAAAGGAATTTAAGTGTTGCATGATTCTAGAATATTAAGAGTCAGTAAAATAATGAGGTTAAACTCCAATATGTCAAAGATAGATGTTATATCTTTTAAAGAAAACTAAAATTATTAGTAAAGAGAATTATAAGTATGAAATTCAGAAAGATTTAAAAAAATTATTATACACAGGAATACATTAACAAAAAGAAAATAAAGTGCATCAAATAGAAAATCAGTTTGGAGAAAATAAAATATACACAATTGTGATGGTTGATTGATTGTGTCAACTTGAGAAATTTAGTTTAGAGAAGCTTAGCTAAATCAGCTCCTCAATTCCATGCCCTAGGGTGTGGAATACCAACTCTAGGGCAGCTCTTCACCTGGATAATATAAAGGGATAATAAGGAAGGATGGATCTGCTTCTGTTTCTTTGGAGGAGCTCCAGTTCTTCTTCACCTTGGAAGTCATCTCTTCACTTCCAGCACAGACTCATTGGCTTCTGCATGGATCCTTCAGCATTCTGGTGTAGACTCTTCAGCCTTCCACAGCAGACCCATCAGCCTCCTGATATGGACATGCATGGGACACTGCAGTGAGCTCCAGACCTTCGACTAAATCCTTTAGTCTCCAGTGTGCAGATAGACCCTCTAGACTCTTCCTCATCTGACTCTGTGGGTGGCCACTGTAAGCCAATCTTATAAATTCATATATATTTGTCTATATTATATCATATCATATCTGTTTCTCTGGTAACCACTGACTAATACAATCATACTGTGTAAAAATAAAGATTCCAATCTTAATTTAGAAACTTATTAAAAACTGAATGACTGTTTCCAAGTTTTAGATATTACAAACTGTGCTGCTATGAACATGGGAGTACATATATCACTGTGGTATGATTCTTTTAATTCTTTGGGGAAGATCCCCAGCAGTGGAATAGTGGGGTCAAATGGGACTTCCAGTCCTAGTT